CTGGATCCTATCCTGTGTATCTTATTTTTGCCTAAAATTCCTTGTTTCCTAAACATGTAGTTTTCTCTTGCCAGTCTTGTCTTTCCTAAGTAGCTGACCAGCTTCTTTCTGCTCCCATTCTTCTAGTATCCTGGGTACTAAACAGCTTAAAATAAGAGACTCCTGTCATGAATTGAGGTTTATTTTCCCTATAGGTAATGGCTTCAGAGGAAGAAAATGGCAGTGATCTAAGCCATGGGTCAAGTGGCTGAGGTGGGAAGAAAAGAATTCCAAGGGCATATGGCACAAGAAAGACTTTCCTATTCCTTTCATTTGCCTGGACTAAGATTCCCATATGCCTAGGATCTAGAACTCCTTACGACTTTGTATGCTTTCTTTTGTACTCAGGCAGGGTGGGCTTCAGGCCTGTGGGTTGCAGTAACAAGAAGCTGTGATGCTTTTTTTTGAACCTGGTAGCTCATGATTTTAGACATCAATTCATTTACATATGTCAGGCATTGATCTAGATACCAGATGAAAACGAAGCTGAGAACAAAACAAAGAACCTGCCATCCTGGATTTTATAGAGACAACAGACAATTAACAAATACATAATATAGTGGCAAATAGTGATAAATGCTATGAAAAAAAAGTAAAGGGACAGAAAATGATGAAGGTATCCTTCGGGCAGAAGAGAAAAAAAAGAAAATGATGAAGGGTATGGTGGGTTAGGGCTGCTATTTTAGTTTGGGTGGTCAGGGAAGATCTTTCTCAGGTGGTATTATTTGAGTAAAGATCCATAAATGAAGTTAAGAAACAAGATGTGAGCATATCTGAAGAAAAAACATTCTGGCAGAATAAACAGCCTTGAGGTGGAAGTGTGCTTGTCATGTTTGAGGAAAATAAGAAGTCCACTTAGATGGAGCAGACTGAATGAGGAAAAGAGTAGTGGGAGATGTGGTTTAAGAATATCCAGGGACCAAGCAAAGCTTTGGATTTTATTCTAAATGTGTTGGGAAGCCACTTGAAGATTCTGAACAGATAAGTGAAAGAATCAGACTTATATTCTAATAGGATGCATCTTGCTGCTGAATAAAGTATACACTATAAGGAGGCAAGGATGGAAGCAAGAGACCAAATAGAGTAATGGTGGTAGAGAATTTGAGAAGATTCAGATTCAGGAAATGCTTTGAAGATAGAGCTGATAAGAACTGCTAATGGATTGAATATGGGGTGTTTAGCTTTAACCCAAAGTCTTTGGGTTTTGGCTGAGACAGCTAATTGAATGAAGGTGCCATTTACTGGGATGAGGAAAACTGAGATGGGGATTAAGTTTAGGAGAGGAAATCAAGAGTTTGGTTTTAGATTTGTGAGAGACTGTTTGACTTTCAAGTTCCTGGGGACAATGGGCCTCTAGTAGCTGCAGCTGGTGTTAACCTTTTACAGGGACATGTCTAAGTGGAGGTGAGGGGCAGAGAAACAGAAGAAATAAAGTTCCTTCTGACTAATCTCCCAGATATTCAAGTGATAAAAAGAGGTTAGTCCTCTGAGCCTGTCTTATACACACTGATTTCAGGGCAAGAAGAAGTCTCCTCTCTCTTCAAAAAATGTTCTGATTTATATTATCTCAAAATTTCTGAATTTAAATTAAAGGTATCCCACAATTAGAGAGAGAAAGCATAAAATGTAAACAGCTTGAGAGATAATCCAGTGTGTATGAGTTTTTACCAAAGTATAACTGAGAGCAGAGAAAGGTCTTGAATGTTTAATGTTTTTGTGAAGAGAAAGGATGTAGATATTAAATAAAACAAAGATTTTATAATCTTGCTTTGGCACCACCCTATTTATCATAATTTTTAAGTGAGAAACTACAGAAAGAGTGTTTGTATCTTGAGGGATCATGTAAGTTTATACCCAACAGGGGATTATGCATTTAAATTATTCCTCTTCCCCACATTTTAATCCTTTCTATCTTTTAACCCTTAGTCTTTTCCCAAAAGTGTTCTTCAACTAGAAGGCCTGTGGCATGATTGAGGCTTGTCACCTCTCTTCTAGGGCCAGATTTCAAACAGATGGCCCTGGAGAATGCTACTTATCTGTACAGTTCTCCATTTGATGTTGCAGTGTGCTAGTATCCTAGGGGAAGGGTACCACATTTAACTCCAGAAAGGATTTAAGGCAGTTTTGCAATTTTTTTTCTGGTTATCAGAGTAATATATGATTATTGCAAAATATTTTAACAAAAAAGTTAAAAAAAGACTATTTCAATTCCTACTTACTAGAGGCAATCCCAACAACATTTTGGCATATTTCCTTCCACTGTCTTATGCATTTTGTTTTTTTCGTAACCGAGCTCTTTATTGTATAAACAATTTTGTTGCCTGCTGTTTTTGCTTAGTTATGGTATATATGTTTGTCTCTATCATTACATTTTTATAGCTACATAATCATCTATAACATGACTACACCATAGTTTACTCAAGATGGTTTCTGATTATTTACAATTATAAATAATACTGTGATAAACAGCTTTGTGCATAAATCTTCACTCTTCTTTTGGATGACTTATTAAAGGAGGAATTGGCAGATTAAATGTATACATACTTTTTAAAGCTTCTGATGTAAATTGTTACAATGATTTCCAGAAAGGTTGTTATCAGATCATACTTTGGAAGGGAAGGAGAGAGCTATTGGAACTATTGGATCTGGTAGAAAATATCTGACAGCAATTCTTACAAAGTACTATGCCTCTGGGGAAGAGTCCCTTCTCTCTCTAGAAAAGGGGTTATCTTAAAGTATTAAAATTATCACATCAGATTTTTCCACACCACATAATATGTATGGATTGTGAGGAGGAAAGGAGAATTGAGAATTTGAGTTAGAAGTCATGCATAAGCTGACATGTCAGAAATTACCAGTTTGGGAAACTAAGTTTACCAACACTGCTAAAGGACTCAAATATTTTAACAGTGGTTCAGATATTAATTGTGATTATACAGTATCAGGTTTATTTAATTTTGTATGATTTCATGCTATTTAATGAGAGACAATATAATGAGTGTTTTTCAAATTGTGGGTCCTAATCCATTTGTAAATTACAAAATCAATGTATTTTCTATGACTGGTATTTTTAAAAAACAAAACACAATAGAATGAAAAATATGAGAATGCACTGCAATCATTTCAATGTATGATTTCATAATTAACAAACAGATTAGGACCCACAGTATTATTTTCTGAGACTTTTGTTTCAGTTACGTGTGTGTATATACTATAAAACACATTTATTATTGTGGGATGTGATTAAGAAAAAATATAGTTTGAAGCCATTGGTGTAGAGGAAAGAGTCTGAACTTTGGAATTAGCCAGAACAAGTTTGAATTTGAGCTCTGCTTGGCTTTTACCCATTATCTAACCAAATGGCTCAATCACCACATTGAAAAAAGAGAGTAATAATATCTCCTTTCTGGTTTGTGTGTGTACATGTTGTTTGTGTGTGTGTGTGTGTGTGTGTGTGTATGAAGATTAGAGATTACTTAAGCAGAATGCCTACAACATAGTCAATGATTAATATATAATTACTTCCAAATCTTTCCCAAAATAATGTTCTCCTTGTAAAAATACTTCATTCACTGAAGAAAGACAATGTGTTTTATTGATGACTACATCTGTTATGCTATTGTGTACTTTTAAAACACCTCTGTCAGTCTTTTTCTCCAATTTGGTTTAGTAAGGAGACTTGAGCACATAGTTCGTTCCCCTTCCTGTTCTGACACTTTATTTATCTATATTATGGATCTTGGCACTTTACATCTGTCATAGATGGTCTAATTGTTGCCTAGTTCAATTACTACTAAACACTTTCAAACCTCTTCTAGTTCTCAAAATAGTGGCGGGAGCACTGCAGGATGCCAGATCAAAATCTGTAGAGTTTGCTCTACAGCACACCTTTCGCAAAGTATCACTTGTGGTGTACGGGGAAGCAGCTGTAATGCTGATTCCCCTGGCATTTCTCACTCAATCTACTCCATGCTAAACAGGCCAGTTAGGCATTAAGTCATACTCTGGGTAGTACAAGTGGAAAGTGTGAACAGAGAAACCACTTTATGTGAGGACAGTGGAAAATGAGATCCTCCTTTCCTCTCCCTACTCCTGCTCCCATCGAGGAGAAGCACTTAAGAGCGCGGAGGCCCAGGACCCAGCCGCGCTCGGGCGTCCCGACTCGGAGGCTGGCGGCGGGCAGGCACGCTCTCCTGCGCTGAGAGCCCTTCTGCGGAGATGAACTCTCGAGTGTCGCCGCCGCGCGCGGGCCCGATCGATACAGGCGGGCGGACATGCTCCCGCCGCCAAGAGCAGCCACAGGGCGGTGGAGTCAGCTGCTCGGCCTCTCGGTCGCACTTCTCATTAGCTCAATACCCGCAAAGGACGTGCACTGGTTCCCTCGCGGACACCCACCCAGTGGTCTGCGCCACACCCTCTGCCCACTGCCCCTTCCGCTCGGCCGTCCGGCGCAGGGCCGGAGCTTTTCAGCCAGACGCCCTCGCGTATGGGATAGCCGGGTCCCGGCCCAAGCGGAGGGCGTCGTGAGGTGGCCTTTTCGCCTGGCTCCCCAGTGGGACGCTCCGCGGAGGCGGTCGAGTAGGGGAGTGTCGAGCTCCCTCACACTCTGGACCTTACCGTCTGGCGTCTTCGCCCGGGAGGCTGCAGCGGGAGGCGGACCCAGCCGGCCGCAGGGGCAGGTCCACGGCGCTGTGAGGCGGGGCTGGGCGTCCGGCGCAGCCGCCAGATTCGTCTGCTCCGTGAGTCAGGACGAGAGAAAGCCCCGCCCCCGGCGCCCGCTCCTACTCCTGATTGGCCGGACCAGCCCGGGGCGGTCCGGCGGGACCCCGACCCGCGTCTCAGCTATAAAGAGAGCCCCGGCATGACAGCCGCGGCGAAGCTCTTCTAGTTCATCTGCTGTCCGGCTCTCAGTCCCCGTGGCACCCCCTTTCCTCTTGTCCCCGAGCGCTCTCGACTCCACCATGCCAAGGGGCTTCCTGGTGAAGCGAACTAAACGGACAGGCTGCTCGTACCGAGTTCGCCTTGCGGAGCATGTCTTCCCTCTGCTGGGGCCCCAGGGGGCGCCGCCCTTCTTGGAGGAGGCTCCCAGGGCCTCCTTGCCCGGTACGGAGCGGGCG